TCACTTATGGGGAGTACAATGGTATTTCTGTGATTATTTGGCTGGCTTGATGAAGGTCTCATTAGTAAAAGATTTCAATATTACACGGAGATATAAGCTTGGGTAGAGTGACTGAATGTGTCATGGTTGCAGAAATATGTGTGGCTCAGTACTCAGAACTCAAAGCTCACAAGTGGAGCAATCATTTTGAGAATCGTTTAGGAAACTAGTTGTAAGTGGAACAATCTGACTACACTGCAGAACAATTTGACCATGGATACCGTACACAATAATAATCATTTGAATAGATAGATAGATTGATAGATAGAGACTAAGAAATATATAATTTCCACATTGTTGATGTAAAATAGTTGTCTTCAAACCATGACATGGATTTATTCCCAATTCAAAATGGCAAAAAATTGGTAACTTGAGCGAGGAGTTGTTGTTCTTTCGGCTGCTTTCGATCCTTTTTCAAACTACACTGTTTGCAGCTCTAAGAATATTAAATTAACTTAAGCTTTGGCTTGTACACTAAAACTTGCTAAAATGGAAAATGTACGGTCACTAAAAATGAGTTCACCTGATTACTTCCTGACTGAATTTTGTACCAATCAATCAATAAATAAAAACAGTTAGAATATCATACCTTATTAGTCGACTGCTTAAAGTCATTTCTGGTTTCTCCCACTCTTTACAGCACTCACTGGAACCCCACAACTGAGCCGCCATTGTGTTTGTTGAATGCCCAGGCGCATATCAGTGTTTTGTGTATCTCCACGGGGGATACACATATCACTAGTGATATGTGTGTGGGGATAAACATATCACTGTGACACCAGCTGTAACCGGCCGTGACAAGCCTTAGCCTTTCTTCCCCTTCTGACATCATCACCTTTGACCAAAATTGGCATCATCTATGCTCTTCTGCAGGAGGAAAAGATCTTTCCAATGATACCCAGATCAGAGTGATCGGCCCAATGGAGCCTGAAATATGCACAAAAATGCTCAAAAAGTTGAGTGAAAAACTCAGAGGAAATTTTCCTGCCACTATAAGTGTTTACTCCATGGCAAAAATTGCCCATCTCGATGATGCTTTCTCAGAATGTTTTAAACTGGAAGCAAGCCCAGTAGAAGGTCAATCACTACAGCAAAAAGAAAAGAAAAGGAGAAAAAGGAAAGGCAAAAAACTAAAAAAATAAAAAAAAATTGAAAAGCCTAAAGACATAGGTCACTTTCTTGTCCAAAAAATTTTGATTTCTGTGCATGCCCGAGCAAAAATGTTGTAAAACGCGATGCTAGTGGAAAGAAAGGTATGCTGTCATGTTGCAAATGCCTTTCTGAGTAGATTGGAGCTAATTTGGCCCATATCCAGCCTGAAAATCTCCAAAATGCCCAAAAAATGCGAGTCAATGGGTTAAGGTAGCTCAAAACAGTTATATTTCCGTGAGACACCTGGGCTCTAGCGCGCACTTCAGCGTGAGGTGTCACGCAATGACCCGAGGGTTCGTGAGATAGCACGTAAGGTTTAAAGTTCACAAAAATCAAAACAAATGTGGCGGCATGAGGCCTACTTCGTAGAACTTTGTTTCCGCCAAGTTTAGTAAGCTGTTTGCATTATCAGTTGTTTTTAACTTTGAAAACATCCATCCCTCAGCCAATTTGTATAGGTAATCAAATGATTTTGAGTGCAATTTGGAATAAATAAGCACAGGTAAATTTTCCTAGGACTACAAGAATTGCACGAGCCCGTAGGGTGAGTGCAATTTGTAGTCTTTGAAAAATTTATGAGTGCTTATTTATTTCAAATTGCACGAGAAAAATCATTTGATTACTTATTAATAGTATACAAGTGACAATTTCTGTCACGCTTCAGTATTTTACGTGACAAATGAAGGGTCAAGCTACTTCAACTTTATTGGATGACAATTTGACATGCGAATTTAAGGGTAAAAATTCATTCACTCTCTCCAAGTCATGTATGAAAACTGAGCAGTTTCTTTTAACTGTGAAAAGCAGTCTGTTTTCACAGTTGAATTGAAGAACTTGACCCGAAAGTAAAAGAAAACCTCCCTGCGGTTTTGATGAGGCCTTCTTTACAACTGTTTTTCTAGTGTTTAAAAAACCCTGTGCTGTGTTCAAATTTATCTTTGCCAAGAAGAAAATCTTCAACCCAGCACAAGTTGCTTCAACCAAAAAGCCAAGAAACGAAGCTAAAATCTGCCAAGAAACAAATTTTCTTAGTACCGGAGGACATTTATTTACTTCATCTGGTTGCTTCCTGGCTTTAACTTCTTCACTGGACATTGTACAGGTTAGATTTGTGTTTGTCCCGTTTTGTTTGTGAACTATCTTACCTAATCTCTAAGCTTTGTTCTTTTGCAAAAGTAGAATGGTTGCACTTTTTGTCTTCAAAATTAAGACATGGCAGGTTCTTAGGATGTCTTGTTGGGTCCTTCTTCGGGTTTTGCTTCGTAGTACTGACAGAATTTTAAAATTGACTTTTT